TAATTTACATGTAAGATTGCGTGGAACAGTAATATTTGCCACATCTTGAAGAAAAAAAGTATTGACGGTATGTGGAATGATAATTAACACATAAGTAATAACAATGAAATAAAGTCGAATCATGTTGATGCAAATGAAACTAATCTTGTTTTTTAATCGTACGGCTGTCTTATTTTTTTTTGTTAGTTAAATATTCCTTTTTTTTAAAAATAGTTTGTTTAATCGAGATATTCGCAGAAAGACAATCAAAAAAGAATTGGTAGTTACATTTCTTTTTTCTTTTTGACACTTTCATTTTGAAAACAGGCCAAAAAAAATATTTACTCACTTTTTCCTTTAATTTCTAGTTAAAAGTCATGCAACAGTAAAAAAAAATTTATGTATTTAAGAAAAAAACCTCAATGTATTACTTTTTATTTTGTGCAAAAAAAAAGAAAAATATCTCAAAGTGTGTCGATAATTTTTTCCTAGTTCTGTTAAAATATTACAACTTGAGATTGAATGTTATATAAATTAATCATCTTAAATACAAGAAGTAAATGTATGAAACGAGAACATATAAAATTAATCAATAGCTTATATCGATATAGTAATACGAACAATCAAAGAAAAAATAATATTATTTTTATGACTACTGTCAATCATAGTCTTTTTTTCGTCTTTAAATATTTATTTAAGGAATGAATACTATAGGGTACCGCTAAATCGTACGATACAGACAGTTTAAATACTTACTTCTTGGCATTATTCTCACATATAATAGTAATAACAGCATGAAATTCAAAAATGTTGATGTTGAATAAGTATGTTTTTCTTTGATACATCAATCGATTAGATCAAAGAATTTGTTTCTTTATTCATACATTTGATGAACCTCCATTCATAACAAATTTCAATCATCTTATATTCAATTTTTATCCAAACAAGAAACAAAAAAATATAAAATTCAAAATAAATCAAACTACTACATTCTATATCTGTCAAAAAAGAAATAGAGAATGATTAACAAATTATTTTTTTTTTTGGACAATATTAATAAATACAATCATTTCCTACAATTCCTTCTTCATCAATAACATCAAAATAAACTCGAAGAAGTGTATAACCAAGTGTAGATATAAGTGATTTTTGTTTTAATTAACATATTCTTAGTGTATTTTGTCCAAGAATTGATTCTAAAAATATAGTTAAATCTTATGTAGTTTGTTTTTCTAATTGAAAAAATTCTTCAGTTAATATACAATGATTAATTGATAGATAAAGTTTAAGTAATAATTTGATTGTTAATGCCATATTCATTATAAACATTGATATCATATGTTGTTATATTATGATTATAAGATGATGTTCGTCTATTCGATAAACCACGATCAATATAATGTGAAGTTTTTGATAGAGTATAATCAGAAAGAAAATATCATTGTGGTATACGAGTAAAACTTATTAAAAGTACATGACATGAAAAATTTGTTGATGAACGATAACAGTTTGTAGATAAACTTAAACGTGAAAAATCTCATGAAGAAGATGATCATAATGATCTAGAAAACAATAAATAAATTTATTTGAATGAGTATATTAAGTTCGGAATCTAATGAGATGATGTATAAGAGTATTAGAAGTGATAGTTTGTCTTTAAATCGAATAGAAACGAAGAGAAAAATGAATTTTTTTTTGTACTGGTTTTATTTTTTTAGATGAGCAAAAGTTTTAATAAGAACTATTGAAATTTATTGTATTTATCTATTAAAAGCATATAATATTTTTGCACAATACAGTCGAAAACAAGTGTTGAAGTTAGACGATAGATATTTGGACTCTCTTTTACAGACGTTAATGTACAATCAAAGCCCGTATATCAATAATGTCTCGTTCTAATATATGAACTACTTTCTTTACTGGATATATCGAGAATTAAGTGAAAGAATAGTGAAGATTTCTGTCCCACGATAGATAGAATAAAACAATCTCCCTGTGGTTAGCAACAGCATTTACATCGTATTTTACATTTCAATTTCACAGGAACTACACTGACAACTTTCCCGATGATTTAGGACACTAGTAATGTATCTATATGAGTGAAAGTTTACTGTAGGTAAATCAAGATGAAAAATTTTCCTTCCTGTATAAATAAATAAGACCTTGAGAAAAAAATTAATGAAAATATTTGCTTAACAATCGATAGAGCCTAGTTTGATTTCAGGAAAATTTAATTACAATACAAAGCTCATCTGTTAATATATTATATTTCTAAATAACGTTTAGTTAGTTCAAATAAATTCGACATAAAAAAAAGCTGGATGACGATTTATATTGGCTTGTTGTTTAGATTTGTTAGAATTCGCATTTTATATTATATATTTTTTTCTCAATAATTTTTATTATAGATGCAAAAGAAAAGTATGACACATGCATAATGCTGACGTAAATTATTCTCTTATTTGAACCGTACAAGTGTTGATGATCCGTTAGGTAATTTGATCGATATTGTACAATGATGATAGGTAAACTTATGATAAACAATAATGAAATCAATGCCTGTCAACATTAAATCTATTCTTTTGACATTTATTGAAGGTTATTTTGTCTTATTGAAAGACAAGAAATTATATCTATGTACTTTGTCTTTTCATTATTCTCATCAATGGTCTATATCGAAAAAAAAAAATAGGAATGTCAGTTATTTTGGCATGTAGAATTCGTATAATAACGAGAAAATCATATTTATGGAAGAAATAATAAACAATCAATATTGTGTCATTATTTTCTGTTACATATCAGCAAGAAAATATCGTTTTTTTTCTCATGTGTATATAGATTGAAGAAAGAATGAATGGTCATATTAATGATGAACAATGAACAGATGTGTATAATGCTAAATAGTAGAGTCTCTGGTCAATAGGATGAGAAAAGGTCAAAATCTGTTCAAGTTACGTGATCAAGAAAGAAAAAAGACAAAATAACTCTATCAAAGAATGTAATCGATTAGCATAAAAGACAAAAAAAAAGAGACTAAAATTATGCATAAGATTGAAGAAGAGAATCAAGCAGAAAAATTAATGTAAAAGAATTTGTAGATCTTTGTTTTTTTTTTTTTACATCGTACCATTCATAACATATCTAATGTAAGAATAATAACAGTAGCTCGTTTTTTTATTTAATACTAATTGTTCTATTCAATGAAAATTCTATTTTGTTCGATAAATAGACTTTCAATCAAAGTTTATTAAAAATCAGTTAACCTCGATCTATTCTCATATAATTGTCAATCATAATAAATGATGTCTCGATCTATGTTTTATTCATACCTACCTTTACCATGATATGTTTCTTCGATTGTCATATTATTTTCATCATTTGTAATATTAGTCTCTTGATTTCCATCAATATCAGTAGAAACAGTAATAGTAGGTTTTTGAATACGTTTAGCCATTAATAGAAGTTGTAATATACGACTGAACAAGTTCGAACAGATTATTTAAATATTAAACTAGATCACGCACAATTGCGTGATTATAGTAATAATAATACCAAAAAACTAACTAACATTATTATTGAAGAAGGTAAAATTGTTCAATTCACTGTTCGTATTTCTTTTCCTCTCGATTTCTATTGATTATTCTTCTTCTTCTTACTTTTTTCTTTTCTTTCTCTCTGTCTTTTGCTCTTTCTTTCCCCTCTGTCTAGTAAATTGTGTATTACAATATAAAAAAAAAAACCAACAATACACAACTATTATGAGAAAGAAGAATACGAAGAAGAAGAGGAATAATTGTACAATACACGCACACGTATACACATCAAATGAATAGACCAAAAAAAAAGAAAGCAGAGAGTTCTTTTCTTTTCTTACTCTCCTTTTTCGACTTTCTCATTCTGCTGACAGTGCATCTCTAAAGCAAAGAAAAAGCGTATACGCTCCTGTTACACTATCGTGTATAAAAGAGATAATCAAGTAATAAAAGAAAAGAAGAAATAGATTTTCCATATACAGAAGCATATAGATGATGGAATCTATCAGGCTCGTTTTTTTCTGTGTTCTGTCATGCACTTTTGCTATAACTATTGACTAAAGATATCAAAGATAGATCCAACATGATGAGACATATACATCATCCCTCCCATCGCATCGCATCACATCGCACATCAAAAATTGCTTTACTAACGATGATAATATCATCGTTCAGAGAAAATGATGCGGTCAAGAAATAATGTTTCCTATTTTATCATATGTTATCAATAGTGAATTGATTAGTTGTCAGGCATGGATACACACATTAACAACCTATACATTCTCTTCTTGTTTAACGATCAATAATGTAAAAGATGTTCTGTTGATAAGACATACATTCTTTTAATTCCGAACACAAATTAACTGTAGAGAGAACAACAAAGAAAAAAAAGGTAAACGCACACACACACACATATATTGATAGTTGATTATTTTAATTGATAGTTTTGATTAAATGTAACTTTTAATGGGGATTGTGTTTCTAATGATTGATATGTGTCTTTTATCATTAAATTATCATATTCACTTGAATTTGTAAAACTATTTTTATTATTAAGTGATGCTAATGTTGATGAAGAAGATGATTGTATTAATGAAAGAATTTTCAATTCATATTCTTGTTTAGTTTGATTATCATAAATGAATTGAGTATTTAATTGAATATTTTCAATATCATTTATTGTTGAATCTCCTCTATCAAACAATCTTGTATAGATGAACATATTAAAGCAAGTAAACTAACAAAAATTATAATACATAAACATATTATAATTGTAGTTTTTGTATAAACTAAATATGAATTATTTTTATTCAATTGAGCTAATATATTAACTGATAGAAATGTATCATTAATACATGAATAATTCAATTGAATATATTTTAATTTAATAGTATGACATTTACTAATATGATGTTGATTATGAATAAATAAAAAAGTTTTTTGAATTAAAAATACATGAAGATAGATTTGAACATATATTCATGTTACTATGATCATCATGATGAAGAATAAATGTACAATTATATTTATTATAAAAATATTTGATAGAATTTATTTTAATATGAAGATTATTCTTACAATGTATATGATGAAAGTAATTTGTAGTTGTTAATAAAAATGGTTTAGTAGTAAAAGTTGTATAAGGAAAAAAGACAAGAAATAAAACAGAGAAATAATTATAAATAGACATGTATAAGTGTGAAGAACTTTGTCAAATGAGAATAGAAAAATAAGTGAATGACAGGTGAGATAAAAAAAATAATCATGAAATATAAAAGAATTATTATATGGATAGATAAATGTAATTTAAGTAAGACATTTACTTGTATTCAAGAAAAAAACATATGCCTTTTGTCTTATCCCATGCGACATTTTGTTATATGAGAAGCACAAGTTTTTATTTATTGTCCTATACTCAATTAGATTGTCGCAACACATATACTAAGCAAAAACGAACGCAATAGAATTGTTAGTTAAGTATATAGAAAATAAATTTCTTAAAGATCATTTTCTTAAAAGTTTATTTGTGATTTTCTAACTCGATGAACGATTATGCATTGACTTTTCCTTTTTTATTATCTCGAATTCAAGGGTTTATTAAGATTTCTTAACTTTTTTCTTAACAATTATTTTATTTTTAGTTCTACCTAAAATAGATTACTAGTGACATTTTGTGTAAAGAGAATAGGAAACTATCGAGTGTAGTATCAAATGTAAAACCTCTGGACTGAATAATGAGATCATAGTGTCTACCAATTATACGAATAGATGAAATATACTTAGAAAAACTAAAACCAACAAAAGCATTGTGAAAGTCAGACTTCGTTTTTATTTATTTACTTAATCTTTCTGTTATAGAATTGGCACATGCATGAGAAACAAAATCGTTTACTAGATGTCCTCAATTCTAATAAACAGTGAGTATGTATACTTTAAAATCATATTGTTTCAATCAAAGCTTCTAATGAAATAAAACAAGACAGATGACTCAGTAACTGGTCTTTTAGAAATTTTCGAAATAGTATACTTGGAAAGTGTCACTATTGATTATTCTTTATAGCAAAAGAAATTTAAATACAAAATTTCAATTGATTTTGTCATCCGAGTTAAGTAAATAATTGATAATGTTCTCTAATGGAAAAATTAATATTCTAAATTTAGGTTAGTTTATATTATATTAAATTTTTTATCATTATTTGCAAATATTTCTTCTTTAGATATTGTTTTACTTTCAAGACAAACAATTCCGTTGTATTTGTACATTGTTCCTTATAACTTTCTCATATTTATTTTTTTGTCAAAATCATACATTTGTTGAAAAAATGATTTCAAATAATCAACACGAAGGCAATCAATTTAAAAGTATTTAGTTTTCTAACAGTAGAAAAAAAAATAATAATCTTATGATGAAAATAAATTCAAGGTCATGTAACTTGTCATTACTATCAAAAAGCATTCATTTATGGTTCTTCAAGTGTAATAAAATTATTTCAATAAGTACAAATGTGTACCAAGAACGATAAACTCAACAACTAAAATTTACAAGATTAAATGACAGCAATAAAGAAATAAATGTTTTCCAAAAAAAAAAAACTTTGGCATTCTGCTGTCTCTTGCAGGACCGTGTAGACAAGAAAAATATTTACTCTATTGAGATCTTTAGTTTCAATGTTTTTTTAACATATAGCATATCGTTGAATGGCTTGTCTCGGAAAAATCATTGTTTTAATCATAATAGTTAGAAGTATTGAATATTATGATAGATTAATTTTCTTAATCTATAATGTTGATTAACAATGACAATAAGATGTAAAAATCAAATTGATAAAGTTCACACGAAGAGCAAAAAAAAAAGAACAGTATATATCATGAAATTCTGATTCTGTAGAATGTGAAAGAAAGACAAATGACAATGAATAAATTAGATCATATAATAAGATTCAAATTAGAAAATAAAGACAATCATGTATACATTATTCCGCAAATGATCTCATGTAAATTTGATTTGATTGTATAGAGATTGTAAAATATATCTAGGAGAATTTGAAATCTTGGATTCAATGGGATCTGATTTTCTGAAAAATGTATAGGATATGATTGTCATCGAATACAAAAAGGCCTTAAAAAAAAGTATTTCGTATCTTTTGGATGACAAATGCAATGCCGATGAGAAAAATTTATAAAGAATATCAAAATACAGTTCGATCGTGTTCGAATCTAAAAAAGGTTTTATTCAACGAGTTCTATTGACTACACTTCAATGAAATTAATTCTATCTAATACAAAAAACTAATTAATTCACTTGTTTTGATTAACGCTTGATGAAAATTAGTACAAGGTCAATAATATTATCTTTTCGCATAATTTTATTCTTTATTCATAATAAAAAGAAAAGTTTTCTTTTTCATCTTTTCATTTTGTTTGCTTTCACTTCCTTGTATACATAACACTAATGTAACAATGTGATTTTAAATTCTTTTTTTTTCTCTCTCTCTCTTCTCTGTTTCTTTTCTACAAACAGTATTTGAAGATGTTGATTATGAACTTACCAACGACATAATGATTCAACATAAAATAAATTACGTCATTCGTGACAAAATAAATAGATTAAACAATTTTTATCTTATTAAACGTTCGATGAATATTTTAATGATAAAAAAAAAAGCAAACCAAAAAATAAAATTCTGTAGAATTAATAAATATTAATTGTTCAAAATGTTTATGAGTGTTCATGTTCGATAAGCAGCTGATCGACTAGGACCACTATTAGCGCCTCCCGAATAAATAAATTTAAAGTAGATAATTTCAACAGTGAATATAAGAGCAGAAAAAATAATTCCACAAGCTATACCAGCAGTTGCTGCTTTACCAAGACCTGTTTCACCTGCTTTCACATCTATAACAAAAAAGAAAAAGACAATACTAATCAGAGAATATTTCTAAGTATCAAGGTGCTTTTGAGTCTAGGATTCAATACATCATGTAGGTTCTAATGAGCTATAAATACCTTGAAAAGAGTTCGGCTTAATATTTTTTTTACTGCTTAAATACTGTATTTTTTTTTTACAAAATGTTGTTAGTTTCCTCAGGAAGATGAGGAAAACAGAAGTTTTGTATTTCGACTTGAAACTTTACATACAAATAGGCATTAATGAGAATAATTCATTGTAAAAAATAAACTTTTCACATCGATCATGTAAAATGACATATTCCGATATTTCTTGTATCAAACTAATGCAATCATAGAATCTAAAATTTTCACAATAAACTATTCTAGTTAAGGCCTATCTCTGTGCAAATATTTCAAGTAAGAATTAGATACTTAGTCTTCTAGCGTTTCTGAAGGTGAATATATTATTTTGCTAAAAACTATAGTATCTTGACAAAAATAGTCTATTAAACTGAATTATTTTCAGATTATTCAGAGCTAATTAGAATCTAAATGATACACGAAGTCTCGAGTGAATGGTTATTTGACATTTAGAAGCGTTTTGTCGTAAGTTATTCATTAAAATAAAAATAGACAAATATTCACTTTGTTGATTTGAACTTGATGTAGTAGTCGGTGCTTGCGTTTGTTGTAGTTGTTGTTGTCATTTGTGGTGCACATGTAGTAATATCTTGATTACAAAGAGACTTTGTACAAGCACATTCTTCAACAGGTCTTGCAGCAGGAGGAATATACTTAGAATAGACATTAGTGTTTGATTCACTAAGCGAAATATTCCAAGTATTATTATTATACATCAAAAATAGTGCTAGATAGATTCTTTCAGAAAGATAAATTTCGTAATTTTCATAAATGAACGATTGTTGTGTTATAATTGTTTCATTTTTTGTGATAGCACATAATACACTTGCATTTTTTATGTAGTCTTGACAAAGTGAAGCATTTATTAATGTATGTTCCATACATGTATTAGATACATTCAATGTATCATTGCATTGAATAATGGATGTTAGATTAGGTATAAAATCAATTGATGATGACATATTTGTAGAATTCATAGCCGACTCTTGACAAGTATTTAAGTTTTCGTTACAGTTGTTACTTGCACAAACACAGATCTGCAAATCTGTGTACGATTCGAATGGGAAACGTACGCCACATGTCCATACACCGGTACCTGCTTGTGACATATTTACATTATTACTGCAGTTATTTTGAATAAGTCGACGAAATGTATTCATATAGCGAAGACCATTGTGTAGCACGACCGATGATGTGGACGATTCGTTAATATGACGATAGATACGAATAGCACATAACTGAAAACTACCTAAAGCCGACTCATTAGTATTTAATTTACATGTAAGATTGCGTGGAACAGTAATATTTGCCACATCTTGAAGAAAAAAAGTATTGACGGTATGTGGAATGATAATTAACACATAAGTAATAACAATGAAATAAAGTCGAATCATGTTGATGCAAATGAAACTAATCTTGTTTTTTAATCGTACGGCTGTCTTATTTTTTTTTGTTAGTTAAATATTCCTTTTTTTTAAAAATAGTTTGTTTAATCGAGATATTCGCAGAAAGACAATCAAAAAAGAATTGGTAGTTACATTTCTTTTTTCTTTTTGACACTTTCATTTTGAAAACAGGCCAAAAAAAATATTTACTCACTTTTTCCTTTAATTTCTAGTTAAAAGTCATGCAACAGTAAAAAAAAATTTATGTATTTAAGAAAAAAACCTCAATGTATTACTTTTTATTTTGTGCAAAAAAAAAGAAAAATATCTCAAAGTGTGTCGATAATTTTTTCCTAGTTCTGTTAAAATATTACAACTTGAGATTGAATGTTATATAAATTAATCATCTTAAATACAAGAAGTAAATGTATGAAACGAGAACATATAAAATTAATC